GCCCAGGCTGTTTGCGCTGAGTGAGTCGGTCAGCTTCCTGACCCCATTACTATTTGGCATTTGTGGAACGCGCTTCATGTTGGTTACCAAAATATCGTCTAATGTGTGATTGCTCACTTTGTGAGTGATCTGGGGGCACTGATGAATCCCCAAACAGCTCCTGCTGTTTCCCAGCATGCACAAATCCCCTCACACTTGGAAAAGGCAAACTCATTTTAACATTAACCAAAGGAACACATAATTAGGATGTTAAGGAAGGAAAGTAATGAAGCTGGGCAGGTAGGTGGTAGTGGGTATTAATTGCCAAACAGAGAAATTGATATTTGATTCTAGGGTCAATGGGGAACTCCTGGAGTTTATTGAGCAGAGGACTGACACACGGTCAGGTGCCCAACCCAGGACCGTCCCTATGTTAATGATTTCCTGTATAGCCTCTGTAGGGCTTGCTTTGTCTATATTTGTTTGCTCGTTGTCTCCCCACTTACACTGGGAGCTCTTTGAGGCCAAGGACTGTCTTTTGCCTCTTTCTGTATCCCCAGGGCTTAGCATGGTGCCTGGCAAACAGTAGGCACTTACTAAATGTTTATTGATTGATGAACTTAAGGAAAATCCTTTTGGCAGAAGAGCTGAGGATGTGTTGTGTGTGTGGGGGAGATTTGAGGCAAGATCAATTAGGAAGCCATTGCATTTAAATAACTAGGTGAGAAGGGGTGAGGGTCCCAATAAGGGTTGTGGTCTATGAGTGGAGAGAAGGGTTTGGATACCAAAGAAGCTACAGCATTAGGGATTAGGCAATTAATTGGCTATAGCAGGTGAATGAGAGATAACGCCAAGGCTGGGAACCTGGGGGACTAAAGAGTTGATGTCACCTTCAAGAGAAATAGGGACATTTGGAAGAGGGGGAGGGGAGAGAAATGAATTCAGCTTTGGATCCGCTCATCAATGCTGCACATTCAACTCGTGGGGGACTGTGACATCGAATCAAAAGGGCATTGCTGTATTTCCAATAGAGAATGACTCCCTCAATCCTGTGACCATTTGGGGAAATCTTCCTATGATGGCAGGAGCTCAGTGAGAAGGAACAGGTCCTTGTGTGCCCTTGTTCACACAGCTAAAGGGTATCGAGTGCCAACTATAACCATGCTGGGGATGGAGGAGTCCAGGATGCCTCACAACACATCCTAGGTCTTACTGGAGCAGTGAGAAAGACTCCTTCCTTAGGTGTCAGAGTCTCTAAAATCTAATTTCCCTGGATTAGGCTTAACCAGGGGTCTTTGACCTTGCTTTTTAAAACTGTATCTATATACATATTGATCACTGGGATTCAATATAACTGGTTGCAATCTTACATATTTTATTTCATTGCATTATTCTCAGAAAGGTTCCACAGGCTTCTCCAAACTGTCACCAAAGGAGTTTGTGAAACAGAAAAGGTTCTGAGCCCTTGGTTTTGATCCTTTCCCCAAAGGGGAGAGCTTGGTCATGCCCTGGGCACATGGTGGTCAACACCAGTCCCTGAGCAGCAACTCCTCGTGAGAGCTTCTGGACCAGAGGTGTGCATGGGTGCAGTGTTTGGGGGCTGGCCCCCAGCTCTTGGCTGCACACCTTTCTCTGTGAGCCCCCATCAAGCTGGAGACAACTCTAACCACAGCAGAAACCCTGGAAACATTGGTGGGGTCTGGGCGCACCGGGCCTCTGATACTCCCCTTCTCCGGGATGCCTCTCGGAGAAACTTCAGGGATGATATGATCTAACCCTGGCAGATGCTGCTTCTCCTGCTAAGGCCAAGAAGCCTCATCTGGAAGATTCCTCATGGCTCCTTCATAGAGTGACTGGCATATCGTTATTATCTGGGACTTCAGGTGCACAACACAATTAAAATATCATCATTACATACAACCTTCTTGACAACTTTGAATCTTTAGGTAGATACTCTTAACCTGGGGTGTAGGGACCCCCAAGAGGGTTCATTGACTTGGAACTTGCATCTTGACAGCTGCATTTCAATACCATGGGCTTCCTTTGTAGTCCAATGCATTTTATTTTATAAATGACCAGCATTATTATGAGAAGGGGTTCCTCATCTTCTCCAGTCTGCTGCCCAGGGAGTCTAAGACACAACGCACCTAAGAGCCCCTTCCTTACTGACCTGCCAAGGTGCACGGAGATGTTAAGGGACCTGCCCAGTTCAAGACCCCAAAGCCCCCCTTGTTTTGAGAAATATGCATAGTCAGGCTGAACAAGGGCCTCCATTAGCTGTGTTTGAAAATGTATGTCTAGGTCTGGCAGAAGGAATTCACAGGGCTGCCCTCTACCCTTCACAGTGAGATCTGCTCCTTGAATGGAAATGTGCCTCCTTATAACAACCCCTTGTACAAATAGCTACCGTGCTTACCCAGCAGAGAAACAGTTAGTGAACCTGCTATATGCCATATGGGCAAGTGAATCAACAGTCAAGAAACCCAGGAGGAGTCTTGAGAGAGTTTTGAAAAGCCAGGCAGGAACATGTGTGAGAGCCAGAGACTAGAAGAACCAAGAAAGCTCATACTTCCTGGAAAAGGGAGTCCACTTGGGATGGATGGATGGATGGATGGGTGGATGGACAGATGGATGGGTGGATGGGCGGATGGATGGATGGACAGATGGATGGGTGGATGGGCGGATGGATGGGTGGGTGGGTGGGTGGATGGGTGGGTAGATGGATGGGTAAGTGGATGGATGGGTGGATGGACAGATGGGTGGATGGATGACCTGGGCTCAGTTGGACGTATAGGCCTGATTTCAGAAGTGGAGGACTTTGCTGAACAACCAACCAAGATGCCTTTATTAACTATGTGTCTGAGGCATGGGACCCATGGAGGGGGTGAAGAATGACCTCTATTGCCAAAGGGCAGTGAATTGGGGGGCCCAGAGGAAACAGAATCATTTCTGGATGGACGGATGGTGCTGGGCATTTCTAGGGATAGTGATGACGGCCACTGGATAATTCCACAGGGTCATCCCCATTGGGTGCCTTTTGGCATGGGTTTTCCCAGGGGACATTTGCTCTGTCCTGCTTACACTGTGAGAACACATGGGACCCCCTGCCTGGGACTGGCACCCCCATGCCAGTCTAAGCAAACCCCACAAGGGAGGGGAGCACACAGTTTACGCCACGTTAGCATGATGTAGATCATGGCTCTTGATGTCATTTTCCTGACAAAGGCCTGCAATGACAGCCTGGACAATGCGGCACAGATGCCATCCGATGACCCATGACATGCTGACTGCCTACTTCTAGAGGCTTCTGGTCCATGGTGTTGCCCCAGCCGCAGGATGTGGTGACGTCCGCCCTCTCAGCCTTGGGCTTGCCAGTCCAGACTGGGCACCACCCATGGCGTCTGTGCCCCCAGCTCCTTCACAGGAGGTTACAGATGAGGCGTGCGTGCCCACCAGACAAGTTATGAGGATCTAGTGAAGGGCAGGAGCGTCAAGCTCAAACAGAAGTGGATCGGCCACATGATGACTCAGAAAACCACAAGTTAACATTATCTATCTTGCTTTGTATTTCATACAATGTTGTTAAATATTTTCCAATCATATTTTCATCTGGTTCAGCTGCTCTGGGAGTGCTGTGGGCCATGCATTTGACCCCTATGGTGTGGGGGGTAGAAGGCTGGACTTGGAAGACTTGGGTTTGCATGTTGCCTCTGATGCTTAACAGTGGCACGGCCTTGGGTCAGTTACTTGGACTCTGGGCCTCGGTTTCTCCTCTGCAAGACGAGGGGTCGGCCTGGGTGACCTCTAAGGCACCTTCTAGCCCTAAGTCTGGGTGGGACCTCTAACACTGCAAGGAGCAAACCTCAAACTGACACAAACACTGAGTTCACGAATCCTAGAAGCTGATGGCTCTGACCCAATTAACAAGTGTGAGAAAGAAAAAAGCCGGGGACTTGAGGGAGAAGAACTGAGCTTGTTCGGAGCAGACACCCTCCAGTGAGCAGGAAGGAGGATCTGGGCTGGGCTTTTGTCAGAAGAAGAGGCGCCACTCCCCTCCATGGAGCTCTGGCGGGGGACACGGCTGAGGGGAGCCTTGTTTGGGGGGACCTAGCTCAGCCCCGACTTCCCCGCCATTGCTGAGGCTCCCTGAATCCCTGGCGGCCGAAGGCTGGGCAGGGGATGCCTGAGCGGCGGCTGTGCTTTGAGCTCTGTGGTGGTAATCTTTGCGTTCCTGCCATCGCCACCTCCATGCTCCCTCCTGTGACATGTGGTCACCCAACCTGTGTGGCTCTCCCTCCCCACTGGTTTGCCCACGGGTCCCTCCAGTTTCTTTGACAGTGTGGGGGCTGCCCATCCGCCAGGGAATCTCTCGCTCCCGGACACTGACCCAGATCGCCACCACGGTGATGTTTCTCTCTTGCCTTTCCTAGCAGGAACTTGATGCATTTCTCTTTCTACACTGATTCCCTGACCGTATCCTCACAACATCTACCCCTGGCAGGCAGGAAGCAGGTCCCACAGCAAGCTGGTGACAGTGGGGGCTGAGAGCCCGAGTGCCCTGCCCCCGCCCTGCACTCTCTCCATCGGCTCCAGTCCAGCAACAACTGACATGCTCGGTGCTCAGTGCGGCTGCTGCCGTGGTCCAGGTGTTAAAAGGCGGTCCCTGGGGGTGGGAGGAGTGGAGTCCCAGCCATAGGCCTGCAGCCGAACCCCCAGCTCCCCCTTTGTCCCCCTCTCTGCCCGATGTGGCTCCCCCTGGAGTTGACACGGACCCTGAGCATCCTTTCCTTTGCACAGACAGACACCGGGGCTGCCCAGAGTTAAAGGGACATTTATTGTGATGGGGCCGGAGGGGCTGAAACCCAGTGAGAGCCAGTCTCGTGTCTCCTGACCCTTGCAGGCTGTGCTAGCTGCCCCCTCCTCTTCATGGTCCTTTGGACCCCACTCAGGGTGACGTATGTGCCCAGGGAAGCGGCTGCTTTCTTTCTGTGTGGCGCTCCCGCCTGCTGAAGGCTTGGGCTCGGGGGCAGTTCTGGGTCTCGTCGGCGGGCAGCCCCCAGGACACACGAGGACACCCTAGACCTGGAGCAGGAATCTCCGATGGGAGGAGAACGTTGTGGGGAGCTGGGGTCTCATGCCGATCCATCCGTTCCAAGGAATGCGGCGGGAGATGTATGACGGCGAGTAGCAACAACAGACAGAACCGGTGAGTCAAGGCCGGCATAGGAGGGATGAGGGTGGTCTCTGTAGGGCCTGGGCCTCGCAGCCCAGGTGGAGGTGATGGGGCGCTGGGGATCCTTCGAGGCGCTTTCTCGGTGGCCCGGGACGGGACGTCCTCAGTCCTCAGTCAGTGGAGGAGGGGTCAGGTGCAGCTGGAAGTTCTCATTCTGGAAGACACTGTGGAGGGTGGGGCTGCTCTTGGAGATCCCCAGCAGCCGGTGACTGTCACTGCTTTGGTTCTGAGAGAGCTCAGTCAGGAGCGCCAGCTGGAAGACACAAAAGGATGGTGTCAGATGGGCTCCCTCTAGCTCTGAGAGCCGGGAGCTAGGGTACAGCTGAGGACGGAATCACAGTCTGAGTCTGAGAAATGGGTCCTCTCACCCCAGCAAATGTTTGACACAGCTGAGGCCCCCGAGCTGCCTTGGATATTGGGACCCAAGCACAGAGCACGGGTGTGGCACAGGGAAGGCCTCTGTTAACGAATGTCTGCTCCCTCCCTCTGTCCCTCCCTCATTCAGAGTGCTTTACAAACGTTGGCAATAATTCACCTCCTCCGTCTGATCCACACCCTTGTATTCCTGCTGTCTTCTCCCATGGGCACCTCTGGGGGCCTCCTCCTGGACCTGGGTGCGGTCCCTGGGCTCGGGTGGGATGCAAGGTCGGTCCTGCCCTCAGCTGGGTTAGGACCCAGCTCTTGTCCCCGGGGACAGCTAGCTCTGGGGGGGACAGGGCAGGGGAGGAGGGGGCCCAGGAAGGATCAGTGGCCTTCTCTCCCAGCACAGCCCCCAGGAAGTCTAAACACTGGTCTACAGAACCTTCCATCCAACAACAAGCCATTTCCCAAACACCTACTGTGTGCCAGGCTCCAGGGACACAAAGACACAAGTGAATCAGTTCCTGCCCCCAAGAAGCCTCCACGCGGGAGACGACACACACACAGAGGCACACACAAAATACAGGTGAGGTCACTGGAGTTGGGGAGCAGGGACCAAGATTGGCTTCATGAAGAAGATGGCTCCTGGGCCGAATCCTGAAGGAAATCTGGGATTCTGAGGAGAAGGTCAGGAGCACCGGCTGTCTAGGCAGGGGAGACAGCCTTTACAAACACTTGGAGGTGGGAGATGAAGTACTGTTTATGAGGATCAGGATGAAGGCCAACATGGCCTGAACTCAGAGAGGCAAAGGAGAGGGATGTATAAGGCGGCCCCAAAAAGCAGGCTGGGGCTGGGCCGGGGCCAGACAGAGCTCCCCTTTGATTCTAGAAGTAATGGGGAGCTCTTGGAGTTTGTTGAGGAGGGGAGCGTCTGGCAGCTGGGGGAGGACAGAGGAGAGGGGGGAGAGCCTCATGCAGGGTGGTAGCTGGGGGAGGAGAGAAGTGTGAAGCTGAGGACACGGAACACGGGAGGAAGCCTGGTGCGAGAAGGACGATACCAGGGTGACAGACTGAATGGAAGGCTGTTGGGGTCTCTGACGAAAGGAGGTTATGGATGAATACAAACTCATCGCATCCCCAGCTGGGTAGCACTGGGCTGTGCAGCAGCTGTGGCTGAGCCAGGCTTTTCCCCAACAACTTCCCACAGGATCAGCGGAGTTAAAGCCAGCAAGGACCTCAGAGGCCGCTGAGTTCTAGCAGTCACTGTACAGGCCGGGGGCCCTGAGAGACTGGCCCCAGCTCAGCAACAGTAACTTCCAAGTGACAATCAGGATTTGAACTCAAGTCCCTGGATTCCAATGCAGGGCTCCTGGCAGAGGGCCTCACTTTCCCCCCAAATACGAAACATTCAGAACAATTTCCAAGGAAAACAAACTTCTCAATCATTCCCTCTGTCTCCTTCTACCCCTTCTTTAGCTTAAAAAAACTAGCACTAGTTGAAACCCAGTCAGGCCTCCTGCCTCTGGCCAGCTCTCATTCTTTCTTCACCAATCATCTCTATTGATCTTGACTGCTTTTTTAAAGACTGGGTCACCTTGTCTCGTGGGCAGCTAGACGGTGCCATAGTGCCTGGAGTCCAGGAGTCAGGACCCGGGTTCAAATCTGGCCTCAGACACTTACTAGCTGTGTGACCTCAGGCAAGTCACTTAGCCCTGTTTGCCTCAGTTTCCTCATCTGTAAAATGTGCTGGAGAAGGAAATGGCAAGATGCTCCGGTATCTCTCACAAGAAAATCCCACATGGGGTTATGGAGAGTTGGGAAACGACTGCAAAGCGAATGAGCAACCTAACCTAACTCCTTATCTCGCCCAGGCACAGGCGCACTCTGCTGAACCCTTGTCATTCTGCTTGCCCTGCGTGGCCAGCCTGGCGGCCCCCGGCTCCTCGCTTTAGTGGGGCTGGACATTGGTCAGCTTGACCCTCCTGAGCCTGAGCTCAGAGCTCCGACGCTGAAGCAAGCCACCAGCAGTGTCCCCAGCAGCAGAGACCCCAGGTGTGCGCCCTTGTCATTGCTAATGGCCTCCCAGCTGTCCAGGGCACTGGCCTGTCCTGGCTGTTCTACCTGATGCTCAATGGCCCGACCTTTCAGGAGATCCCCGTTTTTCACACTTACAGCAGATGTTTATCGGGGCCCTGGGGCCCCCTTGGGAATAGATTCTCAGTCATGGGTAACTGGCCAGAGGCGGCGGTCCCTTTCCTGATCCTGCTGCCATCCCTTTCTCCCTCTTGCTGATTTGCCTCTGCCTGCCTCCCCACGTCCCTGGCAGGGCCTGCCCACCTGCTGCAGGCGGCTGGCCGCAGCTCCCCGACAGGGGTCTCGAGCTCTGGGCTGAGCCTGCTCCTTTAACTGAGCCACAGCCACATGTGCAAATGGCCAGGATGGGAGCATGAGTCTGGAGCAGAGGCTGCAAGGGGCCATCAGCCCGGTGCCTTCCTCCCAGGGCTGACCATGGAGAGAGGACAGGATCACAGGATCTCAGACTCCCAGCAGAGAAGACCCTCTGAGATCATCTAGATCGGCTCCCCCTAGTAGGACGGGGTTTCTTTAGCCCTCCAAAGGGAAAGCCGAGTGAGGGCTGCTTGTGAGTCATCCCCTGGGGAGCCCTGCCATCCTCAGGGGCCTGGGAAGACAACCTCCCCCCCCAGCTTACAGTGGTACCTTCCAGACTGAGCTACTATCCCTCCCCCAACCAGAGAGCTCAGGTTCAGAGCTGGAAGGGACCTTCAAGGTCAACTCCCTCATTTTGCAAATGGGGAAACTGAGTCCCAGAGGAAGAAAAGTGACTTGACTGAGGTCACACTGGTATTAAGGGACAGGGGCAGAATTTGCACCCAGGTTTGCTGATTCCACTAGGAAAGCCTCATGCCAGCCCTCTCACTTTACAGACAAGGACATCGAGGCCCTACATCCAGGCCACGCAGAGCCGGGATGGGAAGCCAGGGGATGTTTCTGTGGCATTCTCCAAGCTGGGAAGGAGGACAGAGACAGAACTCCAGCTTCCAAAACAATAAATCAGAAGAATGGAGACCAAAGAGGGGCATGCGGGGAGGCAGCACATTACCCTGGAGGTTCCCCGGTAAAGACGGCAGAGCTGGTCGAAAGCCTGGGTCTGCTGGGGATCCAGTCCTGGTTCTGATGGGGTCTGAGAAAGCAAAGTGGACAGAAGCGTTAATTGGCTCTTCCCAAGCACTGCCCCCCCACCCCAGGGCTCCCTCCCTCCTAAGGGCTGTGCCTCCATGAGGGTTGGGGGGAGCCTTCTGAGCCCCCCCCTCCCCAGGGCTCCCTCCCTCCTAAGGGCTGTGCCTCCATCGGGGGTGGGGGGAGCCTTCTGAGCCCCCCCCCCAGGGCTCCCCTTCCTCCTAAGGGCTGTGCCTCCATGGGGGGTGGGGGGAGCCTTCTGAGCCTGCAGTCTACAAACACAGAGAGCTCACTGAAAGGAGCCACTGTATCTAGATGAACAAAGTCAATGCGGAAATCAGGAGCCCGGCAATGCGGAGCCACACCCCAGCTCCCCAAACCCACGAGCTTTCATTCAGTGCCTGGCGGGAGCTAAGTACTGTCTCTGCAGTGGGGGACAGCCTGGAGGACCAAGGGGAGCAGGCCCTGCTCTCAAAGGGCTTACATTCTGCTGCCTGCCCCAAAGGCGCCAGGCCACCCTCCCAGCGGATGCCAGGACGGGGGCAGGGGGATGCTCTGCCAGCAGGATGGAAGCGCGGGGGCTCAGAAGATGCACCTGGGCAGCCCTGGCTGGGTGACCTCTCTAGGTCCTGCGGTACCGTCCCGGCTAGAGTTGGGCCCACACAAACAGAGCAGGAACCAGGACAGTAACAACTCCCCCCCACCCCCATTTCTGTAGCGCTCAGAGGCTTCCTGCGATGCAGGAAGGACCAAGGCCCACCATCCCCATCGTACAGATGCAGAAACTGAGGTTTCATCTCAGGTTCTTGGTGCTGGGATCCAGTGATGAGAACAAACGTCCCTGACCTCAGGGACTCTACGCGCCACACAGCTGAGGAAATACCTCAATGTGTATCACGGGGGACAAGCAGCAACTGGCAGCCATTCCCAGACTGACCCCGGCCATCTGAAGCTGAGTGCACCCCCAAATGAGAGCGAATCCTGAGCAGCAGACATGACCAAGAGCCCGAGACGAGAAACCGAGGGAGAAAGATGCCGGTGTGATCCTGGAGCCGTAAGGTCAGAACCTCACAAACCCCCTCATCTTAAGATGAGGAAACGCGGTGTGACTCACGCAAGGCGCCCCCGGTACGAAGGGGCAAACCTGGGATTCAAACCTAGGTCCTCCTTCCCCTCGCCCAAGCTTGACAACGACTATCCACCTCAAGAGCCCCAAGCTCCCTACCATCCACGCAAGGGGGCTCAGAAAAGGCTCCAGACTTCTGGGTCCAGTGCATGACGTGGCTGCAGGACCCGTGGTGACCCCTCTTGTGAAACGTGCCAACACTGGGGTTCTCAGACGCTCCGTGGACAAACGGGCAGGCGAGCGGCTGCCGATGGACAGACCTGGGACTTCAGGAGGGTCTGTCCTCCCCCCGGGCGGGCTTTCATGCAGGCCATTGGTGCATTCTACCCAAACCTCAGGTACCCTCGGCTTACCTGCAACACCAATCGGGAGCCCGAGAAGACAAAGGTGCGAGGTCCCCAAGTGTCAGCGCTTCATGGCTTGTTAGTGTGTGACACACGGACCGGTGGAGTGAGGTGACCCCCTCTGCGCTGCTTCGCCTGCTTCTGCTGCAAAGCCACTTCTAAGGGGGAGTGAGGAGATTGGGGCTGGGCTGCAAGGGCGGAGAAAGCGACCCCTCCCTGCTGCTGACTGCAGGGACATCCATCTAGGAGCGGTCACCCAGTAACCTTGGTGGCGACGCGAAGCTGACCTCCCCCCCTTTACAGATGAGCAATAACGAAAACAACACTGTGACAGCAGCGGCAGAATGCATTTACACAACATGTGAAGGTTTGCCGAGGTATGTAAAGGGCGGCTGGATGGTGCAGTGGAGAGAGGCAGGAGGGCCTGAGTTCAAATCCCACCTCAAGTCACTTCATGGTGTTTGCCTCAGTTCCCTCATCTGTCAAATGAGCTGGAGAAGGAAATGGCAACCACTCTAGTATCTCTGCCAAGAAAACCCCAAAAAGGGGTCACGGAGAGTCGGACACAACTGAAATGACTCAACAAGGTAGAGGAGCATACATTATCTCATCTGACTAAAAACTGAGGTTCAAAGAAGCTCCCCAAATCCCCCTGATTTGGGGCCATTTACAATTTACCACACTAACCTGTCTTCTCTTCCCACAAAGAAACCTATTTAACTGTGTTTAAATCCATGGTTCATTCTGTCTCATGGTCTCAGAACCGTGAAACTTCTGAGTGAGCCAGAGACTCCCTCCCTAGCTTTATCTGTTATGGGCTGTCTTCTTTCACCAGAATGTGAGCTCCTGGAGGGCAGGGCCTGCCTTTTCTGGCTCATCTCTGTATTCCCAGCTTGGAGTCCTTTATCGGTGTACTCTCTCCCCACTCCATCTCACCCCCCCCCCCAGTCCCACCAAATAGAGGGCAGAGATAGAAAGTTCAGCTAATTTACGGATGACCAGATGTTGGGAGGAGCAACCAATGCCCTGGACATGTGAGGCAGGGTGGGACAGGGCCGGATGAACAGGAATGCACACGAAGGCCTCTGGGGCTTAAACCTCCTTCTTTGCCCAGGACTGGGGCAGCCTGGGGCTGAACAGCAGTTTGTATTAAAAAGCAAAATTTATCTGGGGACTTTAGCGGACAGCAAGTACCCCACGTCACTGAGAGCATGAAAAAGGGAAGAGAATTGCAGTCGCAGAATTTCAGGGTCATCTGGGCCAAACCTCCTTGGGGGGAGGGGCTGTTGTCTTTCTCTGTCTACCCAGCATCACTTAGCACAGTGCCCTGCACACAGAAAGTGATTCATAAATGCTTGTGGACTGACAGAAGGCAGTGTCCAATATAAGCAAGAGGGGGTGTCCCCCGCTGCTCTCTGCTGATGTGGGTAGGCCTCATGTGGAGGTCTCTGAGAAGCTGTACCTTAAGGTGGAATATGGCCAGGATGGGGAGGGATCAGTGCCCTGCCAGATCCGGACCCTGGGGATGGGGATGGGGATGAGAGCTGTCTTTAAGCATCTGAAAGGCCCTCATGTGAAAGAAGGCTTTGTCTGCTGGGTCCCAGTTGGGCAGAGCCAGATGTAACTGGTGGGCTGCCTTCGCACTGGAGGGCTTCAGCCAGGGAGCAGTCACTACAGAATTCCCATTCAGGCCTGGAGTAGAGCAGAGTCTCTGAGTCCATTCAGGATTTTGGAGAAACGGAAAGACAAGCACGGGGGGTGGGGGTGGGAGGGTGGGCTTTAGCTCTAGGTGACAGCAGGAATGATGGAGCTCAGGGGGCATGGGGGGCAGCTGGTATTCAAAGCAATTATCGGCCACTTTTCTGCTGTTTTAACACCTGACGTCTAAGTAGAAGCCAAGGAAAAAGTGGGGCCGGGAGCCCCCAAAAGACCTAGGACAGCTTGGAGGGAGGGGAAAACGCCAAAGGAGTCTGTGTTTAGAATAGTCTGCTATCCCAATTAAGCTAATGATAAGTTACTTAACTGGTAGCTGGGAGCTCTTCGGTTCTGAAAAACAAAGCTGCAAGAGGGTGAGTGTGTCTAGTAGCCAAAACCTTTGCTATTGTTTAGGAAGCCCAGCCCAGGGCCCTAATAGCCCTACACATGGGCACGATGGGGGGCGGGCAGAGGACTGGTCTCCTACCGCTTCATCCTCATCCAGCAACAGAAATCTCCCACTGGTAGCCCGTGGGGACCAGCAGCATTAGCTTAGAGATCTTGGCACAGCAGGCCCAAACGCTGGCCTGGCAGCTCCTCACACCAAGGACAAACAGACAGTGTGAAGGAGCAAGGCAGATTTTCTTCCCTTCACTCATGGACCACAGGTTTGGAGAACCCATCGCCACGTTCAGCACAGTCCCCAGTAGGAGGATTGATAACAAGAGCACACAGGGTAAAAACAGGTTCTCATCAGGTGAGGAACAGCTTAACGAATCATAGCACATGAGCGCAGGAGTTCTGTTGCATCATCAGAAATATGGAAAGACTTGCGTGGCACGACACAGAGGAAAATGAGGAAGAACCAGGTGAACGAGAGACACGACGGCAATAATAATGATGATGATGATGATGATGTAAGAGGAAACAACTTAGGAAGACTGACGGGGGGCGGGGGGTGCTCGATGGTGCAGAATGAAGAAGGGCTGTTTTGCTATAACCTCTCTGTTACAAGGGAGGGTAGGGGGAGCTGAGTTACCGGGGAGTGACAGGTATGGAAAAAAAAAAAGGTGCACTAATGAAACATTTTTTAAAAAGTTCACAGAAGAAAAAAAAACGGCAGGAAGATAGAAACAGGAAATTTTGCCACAACTTTGTAGATATATTTGTTTAAAAAAATGAAAAAATAAAACTGTATAAAAGTCCACATTTTTTTCCCACAATCTTCTTCCCTGTTCTTTGTTGCTTAAAATGTATGTTGATGGATACTTGTTAATGATAATGATGATGATGATGAAGAAGAAGAAGATGGGGCTGAAGACCCAGAGCTCTGGTCTCCTGTCCTTTCTGCTACCAAGCTCTAGGCAACATCAGGCTGATCACTTGATTTCAGTGGGGTGGTTTTCCCATTTTAGTCTAGGAACACCACCTATCTATCTCATCGTACTTCCAAGGGATGCCGGAAACAAACTATGAGAAAATAGGTGGGAAAGGATCTTGGAAATTAAAATTCTAAACAAGGTATTACTGTAATTAAAAGCTAATCATGGATTACATCACAAAATCAGGAACAAATGAGGACAACACCCTTGCACCCCGACCACGGTGACTCAGGAGGCTATAGAAAGGGAAATCAGACATTCTGTCCATGAATTCTGCCCAGAATAATTGATTTGCCAAATAAGAATCATGCATGGACAACGAGGCAGGAAGCAGCATGGTTTGAGCTAAATCTCCATTTGGCAAATCAATATACAGAAAATGTCTCTCCCAGTACTTTGAGATTATCCCAAACCCCAAGCCCAGGTTGGATTAGAGGCAATTTCGCAATTGGAAGGG